GTCAACTTGGAAATGTGCAAGCTCTCCCCAGTGCAGAGCATCTCTTTTCTCTGTATGGATTTGAACTCGGTCAATATGATGGCACTTTTCCCAAGAAAACTGCCTGAATAAGTGCAGGCGGAAGACAGCTATTCCACTGAAACAATTTCAGAGGCCTCCTGGGGCATGTGGCATTCACAGAAACGGTTGCGCCGCCTCATCCCCTCCTGAGACCTTTCTGTGGTCCTTTCAGGTCTACAGAGAGCTCACTTTGAGCCGCTGGAGTCAGTTGAGCTTAAGATCATGTCTCTAAAGACAGTGCTCCTGACTGCACTTGCTTCCTTCAAGAGGGTGGGGGGTCTGCAGTTATTTATGGTCAGCGAATCGTGGCTAGAGTTTGGGCCAGCCCTGTCTCACGTGATCCTGAGGTTACGGCACAGATATGTGATCAATGATCCCACTACTCCCTTTAGGGACCAGGCGGTGAACTTGGAAGCACTGCCTATGTAGGAGGCAGCCCTTGTGTTGCTATTCTCACACTGCATGTTTATGTGGACCACACGCAGAGCTTTAGAAGCTCTGAGCAGCTCTTTGCTGCTTTGGAGGTCAGCAGAAGGGAAAGGCTGTCTCCAAGCAGAGGCTGACCCATTTTGATAGTGGAGGCCATCACTTTGATGTACCAGTCCCACGGCTAGCCGTGCCCCCTTGGAGTGAGGTCTCATTCCTCTCAGGGTGTTGCTTCCTTCTGAGCATTGGCGTGGTGCCTCACTGGTAGACATACTGTAGTACAATCTCCCTGTTGAGCTGGTTTCTTCCTGTGTGTTGGGTAAAACCCTCAATGTGTAGGAAAACTGTCTCTGTGTCTCGCTTACAGTGCCATTCCCTTCTAGTGGGGGGATATGGGAGCCTATTTTGCACTTCAAGTGAGTTCCCCTCTTGGCGAACCCTGAGTTGAGTTCCTTTAGCATCCTTTCTGCAGTCAGACACTGCAGAGGCATCTGACGTCAGGTCAAGTGCTTGTGTGCATGCCTGGCCGGTCAGCCCTTGAACTGGGCTAGATGCCCATATGCCCATATGCTCATATGCTGTGATTTCCCCTTGGTAATCCAATGTCTGTACTTTCACAGTACTGTTTCCCTGTTGGTAAACCTGTGTCTTTCTCTGGACAGTTTCTGCTCTGCCCTCTCCATTGAACTAGGCACGCTTCCCTAGTGTTAACTACACTAGTCATGGCTGAAAAATATGGGAATTGAGAACCGAAGCACTCTTCCACATGAAATATCATGATAAGAGAAACAAGCTATGACAGTCTCCCTGTTCCCTCTATCCCATTGGAATGAAGGACTACTCTACTTGGGTTTACATGGGGCGTTAGGGAGGTTACAACTGTGTGAGGGTTCAGTAGCCATGGCACTTTGCATGGGGAGCCCAATACGTCAATATCAATGTAGCGTTGAACGTGACTGAATGGGAACGTCTTGGTTACTATTGTAACCCTATAATGTTATTAGGTGTTAGATGTTATTATGCTATAAAGTAATGTTCCCTGAAGGTGGGAAAAAATTTTTTTTTACATCATTGCCATGATTAAACTTCCAAACATTTGGTATCACTGAAAATACATCCCTAAAACAGTGTCTTATATGGTCTCAAAGAAATTTGCTAAAATATAATCTACAGAGAAAAAAAACTCCATTGCTGGGTCTCAGGAGGATATGAGAAGACTCTTTGACAGTGGGAAGGGTGTTGCCTCAAAATGAAAGGTGAATGAAGGGCCGCTCATACTTCGTTGCGTAAATAATAACCAGTTAATTTGGCTGAAATGTATAATAAATGGAACTATTTTGATTGTTTATGTTGGCGTAGGATGGTTGCTAAGGGTGTTTTAGGGATACACAAAAAGGTCATAGCCATGCTTTATCATAAATAAAAGATATCGACCAATCAGAATCAAAGACTGGAACTAACTGTTTTATAATCATGTTAGTAATTCATTAATTTACAATAAATAATGAAACCTTATTGTAGTTAAAAAATAATATTATTAAACAATTAAACATAACCATTTTCTTGTATTCATCACAATAATTACTTTTAAAGTATTTCTTACAATGTGTATTTAAATGGAACAAACAGGGCGGATTACATGTAATTTGGATTATGTAATCAGATTATTATATGTGTTAAAATACTTGTAATCAGACTACAGTTTCTTCCTTATTGATTACATGTTATTCTCACCATGGCAGTAAATTATTCATAATTCATTGATTGTTTTTTTTATCTTTAAAATGTTCCTTTCTGTTAAAGTCTACTGCTTATATATGTTCAGAAGGCCTTCCAGATTTGTGGAATTGCACAAACAGACCAGACACTATGCTTGAGTCGATCATTGATAACTCGGACACACACAGCATTTCACCACTGGATTTTGGCACACATAATTTCACATTTAAGAGGAGTTTTCTCATTTTAATGATGTAGCCTATTTGATTACATCAAGAAAGGTAAAACCCCATTGATCCATGAGGCCTTTATTTATGTATTGTATTATACAAAACTATTAATACTACACCATATTTTACAAACGTAGCCATTAGCCAACTATTTGTCTTGACAAATAATAAAACACTTAATTGTGCACAATACTTCCACTCAACCAACAGAAAGGCAAATCTCAAGATCCCTGAAAAAGCAACAGGATTAAACCTGTGTGTTTATAGTTTTTGATATTTAAAGTATCAAAGAAGCATTTGACCACAAATACAAATGTACCAGATGATAGATTAAACAATACATTCAATTTATTTGGACGCTCAATTCAAGATTACACAAACACTACGGAAAAAGTAACTGTTCATGTAAATCAAGATGAACCGATGGGCTATGAATGGGGCATTTTTAGGTTATGATTGTAAAATATTCATGACTTGAAACTTTATCTTGCAAGGATAGGGACATGACTTTATCATAAAAGGTATCATAAGCAAGATTAGGGAATATCATGACACAGTTGGCACAACAAGACTGTTTACAATTTTGCCAAGCCTTTTTTTTTTTTTAAAAAAAGTGTGCATTGTTAATCTGCGTAATGAATGAGAAAATGCCAGAGAGGTAATGGATGCCCGCCACATAGCAGATGAATAATTGAGCGTCTGGGGGAACAGGAGAGGTGGATAAGATCGGATGGTGCATCTGTGTCACTGCACTGCCAGGCTTCTCTTCGACACGTCACCCAGACACAGAAGAACAACAGGTGTTTCAATGCATTTATTCACCAAACCAATTTGAGCTGGGGAATTCAGTGGTGCTCATTTAAAATGATTTCATAAGATTTTTTTTTTTTTTTTGCTTGTCTATTTTTTTGGACTTATTTGTATTAAATTTTCTTCTAATATTGAGTTTGCAAATCATCGGTTTGACTTTGGTATCAACCGGACAACAGCTAGCTTTATGAATCTCTATACACAGAGCAGTTAAAAAGTTTGTGTCCTACTCTCATTGTTCGGGCTGTTGACAGGGCAGGAGAGAGGCTCTCAGACGCCACAGCCGATGAAGATTAGGGGTCAGCCAAGGTGAAAGTTCCTGCCATCCACTGCGAGCGTCAACTTTGCCCAGTTCCTTTTTTATAGGGGAACATATTTATAGTCAGGCTCATTTTAACAAAATGCAGATTTTTTGTTTAGTACTGTCCTGAATAAAATATTTGATATAAAAGATGTTTACATAAAGTCCACAAGACAAAAAATATAGCTGCATTTATAAAAATGACCCCATTCAAAAGTTGACATAACCCTGATTATTAATACTGTGTCGTTACCTGGGTTTTGTTTTTGTTTTATGATGGTTGTTGAGTCCCTTGTTTGTTCTGAGCAGTTAAGCTGCCCAATGTTCTACAGAAAAACACTTCAGGTCCTGCAAGTTCTTCAATTTTCCAGCAGCTTTTGCATATTTGAACCCTTTCCAGCAGTGACTGTATGCTTTTGAGATCCATCTTCTCATACTGAGGACAACTGAGGGACTCAAACACAACTAATTAAAACAGTTCAAACATTTACTGATGCTCCAGAAGGAACACAATGCATTAAGAGCCAGGGGTTGAAAACTTTTGAACAGGATGAAGATGTCCACAGTAAACAGAATATACAATATACCTTGATCTTCAAATTCAAAAAGTTGTGTATATGCCTATTTCTATACAATAAATGGAAATGATGTAAACTGAAAATTATTGGTGTTCCTGCGCATTAAAATATGTTCAAAAATTATGCATTACATTTGATGTATTTTGAAGTTCAGGAGATAAAATATTGGCAATACAAAACCACAAATTACCTAATTATTGTGAAATTTATAAAACTAAGTTTAACAAAAAACTGTATGCAACTGGTTTTCCATTTTTAAAATCACAAATAATAATAATATTATATAGCATATATAATGTTTTCCATTTTTAAAATCACAAATAATAATAATATTGTAGCATATATAATGCATTTAACATTGTTTAAAATGTAAACGGAATTGATAATTAAATGTCATTGTTATTCATTTTTCTTATTCATTTGCGAAAACTATATTACTAGGCCTACTATATAATTACAAAGTACATTAACATGAAATGAAAATAAATTACAATAAACATATTGACATAAATTCATGTCAACTAAAAAAGGAAAAATAATATAATTGGAAATAAATTAAAGGAGATTAATTGATACTGTGAAGCTGCTTTGATGCAATCTGTATTGTGAAAAGCCCTATAAAAATATACTTGAAAGATAAAAAATATGATCAATTATAGTTAGTCGTATTAAATTACTTTTTTTAATCACTTCGCTGATGAGTTAAATTATTGAAATAGCTAACATTTTTCATGTGGTAAGTATCCAACGGAAGCTTACGCTTTCTGGTAAGTTGAATAGAGGAACAGGTGGAGGCGGGAGGCGGTGTGAGGAGTGTGTGTGTGTGTGTGTGTTTGTGTGTAGAGCCCGGGAGGCGCTGCCAATGGAAACCGCACACACGAGGAGCGTCGAGCCAGAGCGCCGCGTCGCCTCCATGTCAGGTCCACTCACCTGCAAGGTGCGCACCGAAGATGATGGCCATGAACGGCAAGCAGCACTTCTCCATGCACCCTGCGCTGCACCCGAGCTCCGAGGGCATGCGGCGGGTGTGTCTACCTGCCCCGCAGGTACGTCTCGCGCTAAACTCCTCGTATTGTCTCCATTCTGTCACTTTGAGGTGTTTTGAGTTGCTCCAGCTTCCATCCCTCCCTCCCCAGCCTCTCCTTTCTTTCCCCCTGACTCCCTCTCTCCCTCACCCACATGCCTATCCAAGCAAAGCTGCTGCTTTCATATTAATTTTTATGACCTGTGCTTTTGAGGAGGGTGCTTGGGAATGTTCTTTAATCCAGAGTTGACACAATTCCCCACTGACTTGCATTTGCGCGCTCTTCCCTGCAGCTCCAGGGCAATATATTCAGCGGCTTTGATGAGAGTCTGCTGGCCCGCGCTGAAGCTCTGGCGGCGGCTGACCTGGTGTCTCACAGTCACGGCAAGAGTCACCCTTTCAAGACGGACGTCACCTACCATACCATGAGCAGCGTGCCCTGCACCTCTTCTTCGTCCACAGTGCCCATATCCCACCCGTCATCCAACCTGCCCTCGCACCACCATCACCACCACCTCAGCCACCAGACCCTGGAGGGGGATCTGCTCGACCACATTTCCTCGAGTTTATCGGTCAGCGGCATGGGTGCGCCGCCGGAGATGAGCACTCAAGCCCACCAGCACCACCTGCAAATGGGTCACTTACACCAAGCCATGGCCATGGGCCACCCGCACGCCCTGTCGGTCCACAACGGGATGGCGTGCGTCAACGACGTGGAATCCGATCCCAGAGAGCTGGAGGCGTTCGCGGAGAGGTTCAAGCAGCGGAGGATAAAGCTCGGAGTGACCCAGGCTGATGTGGGCTCTGCCCTGGCCAACCTCAAGATACCGGGGGTCGGCTCGCTGAGCCAGAGCACCATCTGCAGGTTCGAGTCCCTAACGCTTTCCCACAACAACATGATCGCCCTCAAACCCGTTCTCCAAGCCTGGCTGGAGGAGGCTGAAGCGGCTTACCGGGAGAAAAACGGGAAACCGGACCTTTTTAACGGGAACGAGAGGAAACGAAAGCGAACGTCCATCGCGGCTCCGGAGAAGCGATCGCTCGAGGCGTATTTCGCCATCCAACCGCGACCGTCGTCGGAGAAAATCGCGGCAATCGCGGAGAAGTTGGATCTAAAGAAGAACGTGGTTCGGGTTTGGTTCTGCAATCAACGGCAAAAACAGAAACGGATGAAATATTCAGCCGTGCACTAATGCTGTTAGAGCAAAGGAGACATTTTAGGAACACCACAGGGATCTAAATTTCTTCTTTTAAGCATTATAAATACGCCTATAAAGACATTTCATATTGCCTCAAATTGATGTAAACAGTGTGCGAATTAATCCATGGGGTCTGTAGCCTACCAGATAAACGCTAGACTCCCCCTCAGAAGTCAAAACACAAGGTTTCTGTGTCCTTTTCCTCAAAAGTTACAGTCAATTTGGTTTGTGCGAGGTCCAGAAACCTCAACCCGAATGTTAGTGAAATGTTTCAATCCACCGAAGGCCATTGAATAATTCGCACACTTTGACCTTTTTAAACAAACTTGAAATTATATTGATTAATCTGTGATCACACAGTTTACATTACAGAGTTCATTTTACTTTGCATTTAGATATACGAGCAAAAACATGGAACACTTAATGTGTAATTATTTTATGAAGCCGATTGTGATTAGCTACACGTCGTTATGGTTATAAAGCAACATGCACTGTGTAATATGGGCATCGTAATGTATTTTTTATTTTAGCAAAACAAAATAAATATTAATTTACCACTAGATTATAAAGCAATACTGTTTAAGCTTTCATTTGAAATAAACAAACTCTGAATACATTTATAGGAGACTAACTGAACGGCTAGGCTACTAAAAAACTTTGTTTCAGTATTATCACACGTGAAATTATATTTTGAAGTGTGTACGTGTGTTTTTGGTATTTAAAGACTTATTTATATTACTATACGAATTGCGCACAAGTTACGATAGTAGGCTATCACATGAAATGTCCATTGAAATGTGTGTATAGCGTTTGTAATATTCGTTTGAATGTCTTGTCAGATGTGACTGCATCCATGGTGGAAATCACGTTCTCACAAAATGTCACTAAATATATATTTTATATTTATATTTTCGATCATCAGTCGAAGTGATCATATGCAAAAACTGATGGTGTAAAGAATGCTGCTATTTGATTTGCATTAATGTAGCCACTGCAATCACTCTCACTTTAAACTCCACTTTACAAAATGTGTGACTTTGATTGTTATTTAATAAATTGTTTGTTTGTTTTTTTTCAAAACGTCTGTGGACTTTTTTTAAAAATTATTTTAATTACACATATAAAATTAATTAATTAAGAAAAACAGCACAACGTGTCTTCTGGTTTCATATCACGTCATAGAAGATAAATAAAAAAACAGTACTGTATTTTTATATATGCACCATTTTCATCTTACATTAACAATATAGGCTAGGCTACAACGAAAGCAACTCGCGTCAACATCCTTTTAATATCATTAATTTTTAAGACGTGCGTTGTTTTATTAATAAGCTTCAGTTCAAATGTGATTAAACATTAATGATATAATATAGACCAATCACCACCAAATGTAAAGAATATTATAGAGAGAATTGAAAGAAAAATTCAAGCCAAAGCTATTTTCCACTTTTTCTATCTCTGGTTTTCCAACTTTAAGAATGAGACACCGCTGAATAATAAATGTCTGTCACGGCTTTTGTGCAGAGTGGGATTTGAAATTATTAAGTAATGGCGATGCAATATTAATTGTATATTGGTATAAAACAGGCAGAGAGCTGAAGGGAGAGTTGTTAGTCAGGAAACGCTTCTTACAGGCTCAAGGGAAGGAGAAGAGACGCTGTTCAAGGTAAGACGATGATCGTTAGTTCACTGTCATGTTTCAAGAAGTAACTGTGAAGTTATGTTAAAGACGATGTCGTTGTGGATTTACATGCATTAGTATACAAAATGATAATAACAAAATGATAATAATAATAACAACAACAGCAAATAGATATATATCATGTTTAGACAGTTATCATCTAAGTATTGGTGTGTGGTATTAAATTAAAGTAAAAAGGTTGATAAATTTGATATAGCCTACAGGCCTAATTTCCGTTAAAATTAAAAATTAGTTAGGCTAGTTCTAGCTACATTTTTGAGTCGAACAGTTCACAAGTAGGCTATACAGTTTAATTCACTTTTTACATTACACAAAATGTTAAATAGTCGTGTATGATGTTTTATTTTATTTAAACGTGTTAATTATTTTCCTCTTCTTTGAAACAAAAAAAACCCTGTAAGCTAAGGTTTGAAAATGTATCGGCTAAAACTATAAATGCTCAAATGTAGCCTCATGTCAGTGCGGGTTATTCTTTTTCTTTTATTTGCAATAAGGTAATTGCTTGATAATGTTATGTTGCACAAATGCGTTTTAGCATAAAATAGGCTACTTATTAAGCATAATATTCAATTATAAAGCCTATTCAAAAATCGCACTTTTAATTGTTCTCCAAAAAGTGTTAAAGGGTTAAACATATACAGTACTAACGTAACCAAATTGTAATCTTTCCTAATTGCCAGGAACGATCATCATGTAGTCCAAATTTAGTTAAACTAATGGGATTATGAAGGAGGGTTATATTCATTGGAGAAGGCGGATCATGAATAATTAAGATCGGTAATACTTTTTTTTATATCATAACCCTCAAACAACGGTGTAAACCAATCTAAGTTGAGCACAGAGCAGGGCATGTGGCCAGTGGTGGGGACTAAATTATTGATGATCTATACTGAAAGAGGCCTATAGGCCAGTAACTCATGTGTCATAAGGAACAACCCATGGCATGTTTCAGAGTAATGTTCAAAGAACTGTTGCTTCAATTCAGGCTATTTGAGTTTCATCACCGTTTTCCCAATAAAAAAAAAAAATCTAAAGGGATGTCAATTGAAACTCATGAAACACTCAAACTGAACACAGCTCTTTTTTTTTTGTTTCGTATAGGCAATCCTGAATAGAAATCCGCAAGAACCAAATGGGTTGAAATAACGTTTTAGTAACGCGACAATTCAAGGACAGTGCAGGGTAAATAGTGAATTCATTGAATTCGATTTCTTATTTCATAAAGGGGCATTTGTTTGTGGAAATTCTGTAAAAAATAAATAAAATTAATTCTAATTATATAAGTATAAAAAAATGTAGTAAAAACGCCTTTCATGATGTTTTATAAAGTCAAAAAAAAAAAAAAACTTCTACATTTCTAGGTCTAGGCTACAGAAGCGCGTGCAGGAACATTTAAATGTTCAAAGCAACAAACTCCAAAATGTCTATTTAAAGAACTATTTTTATAGCCTATCTAGCCTATGAAACTTGGTTACATGCGTGTCTGAGAAAGACAGAGAGAGAAAGTGAATTCATGTTTTTATTTCAGAGCAAAGAAGATCTGACAGAATGAGGGTGGAGGTCTCCTGGAAGATGTAGCGAACCCCCTCTCCCTCTGCGGGACAAGCGGCTGCTCTCGGGCCGACACTCCGAGTCTCCGTTAGAGAACGGCAGAGTTAAGACACCGGCGCGTCAATTATTCATACAGCGCCAGCAGCAACATATGAGATGTAGCCAATGCGGAGGCAGACCGCGAACCCGGTGTGCTTTATTAGTCCGTTCCTATCATCATCACACGCCAAGACACCTTAGGCATTTGCCCGCGGTGTCTCCAAGCGATAACTCACGGGGTTATCCAAGGGGATACTGTTACCGGGAAACCTGAGGCCGTCCTTCAGAGGTGAATTTTGGGCGCGTCTTGAACGTTGTGTTACAATCTCTTTGTAGCTCATACTTTAATGTCAAGCTCAAGGCGATTCGTAACAATTTTACGGTTTGGGGAATTAATTAATAAATTAGATAACCAAGCCCTCCCCCAATCATTTTTTTACGTTATCCTCAACAACCACATCGTATGCCTTAGGTCATGCCGATATATCGCCAAATCCCAAAATAGTTACTTGTGAAATCGGGTTAGGATGTCACATTGTATGCTATTGGGTTTGCAATTTTGTTGTTATTTATTTATTTTAGGCCTAAATAAAGAGCCCCATTGAATGCATCTGTTCTCGCGAAACTTGTAAGGTGTATAATCAAACACATTTTCTTGAACAATTTAGACAAACTAAAACAAACTAATGTTTATATAGGCTATATAAATCAATTATAATGTTGCAATAAGCGTATGTAAAGAAGTGAAAAATAATTACCGGCTATTCTTTTCTTCCTTAAGTGACACGGTGCGTTATTCAATGCTTTATTCACGTGCTGTCGGAAATATGAGTTAGTTGAAAATTGGACACGGACGCCCCCTCAAGTCGGGGATCATTTTGATACCCAAGTGCCACCCTTGTACGATTGCTGCTGTGACTGGTATACTTTGAATGTTACGAGCTCGTAATCGGCATCAGGAATTTTTTTTCGTCGGTGCAAGATGGTGGTGGTGTCCCAAAAATACAGCTTAAAATAAAGAAAAAAAACAAAACAAAAAAAACAAAAACAAACAAACAATGCGCACTATGTTTGGCTTTTTATGTTTTTAATTAATTTATGGAGCCACTGTAAACTTTATACATGGTTAGTTATATTACAATGTTATTATTTGATGCAGACAATTCGCTTATTTTGTTGTAAATAAAGTCTGACAAGTGTAACTGCTAAATACATATAACTAAAGTATTGTGGTATTCTGGCTTGTTTGCACTGACACACTCCCAAGGTCATGGCTCAAAGAAAATTCAAAGTTTCTTACTGATACAACTTTGCTTTCAACTCAAAAATATAATTTTCTTTGTTCTTTGGTCTTTGTTATTGGTGGATCTCGTGTGAGTGACAGGTTGCCCCGCCCTCATGCCTATAAACACATCATCAGAGATGTTGTTGCAAGAGGATAGGAAAGTTATTTTTATTAAAGATTACAAGAGCACATTTTAAAAAAAAATTAAAAAGATATGCATGGATATAATGTATGATAAATACTGCAATATTCCATTAAATATATCTAAGAAGTGTCCATTTTGATTTCATGTTGACTTTAAATGAATGGAATGAGACTGACACAAATCATCATACATTTAAATTAAACACAGCAGCCATTTGTTTTCAAATGTTATTACGCAGGGTAGTAATAAGATCTACTTCAGCTGAGTGTAATTATTTTTTTAAACTATTTAACTCACCAGAGCCTATAAGCCTTCAGCATGAAGGCAATGATGTTGTAATTTTTTTTGAAGATTTTATATTTTTTTCTTAGAAAAAGTTGTGTTGACAAAAAATTTGTGGAACCATATAAAGGTTTTTAGTACTTTATTTTACACTTACAGAGTACAGTCACAGTGTAATTATAAATACTGAGTCATATTAATTAACTACATGTACTTATGGCTTAGGGTAGGATTAGGATTTGGTTGAGGGTTAGTTGCATGTAATTATGCATAACTTATGTTATTACTACGGTAACATATTTAACACTGTAAAAAAAGATTTTGTTTAAAATATGTATTTTAAGGTAAGGACAGTGAGTGATAAAGTATAGGCATTGTGAGTGATAACGTCATAATTTTGATAAAATAGAGAAAATCGAATGAAATAGTATTTGTGTGATCACATGCTCTGATATTAATTTCAAAACTATTTTGCAAAGCTTTGGGAAATGCATTGTCAGATCAAAATTCAGTATACAACTAAATTAATGTAAGAACATTTTAATTTGATACATTTAATCAGTGTTGGGGGTAACTTACATAACCCGATAATATTTTTTTCAAGTTACCAGTAAAGTAACGTATTACTTTTTAAAATTTACAACAAAATATCGGAGTTAAAAACCCGCAAACCTGTAATCATTGAATGTTAAATAACACATATATACACTATCTATTTAATCTCACTTTATTAATCACTGTCTATCAGTCCCTTCAGGATTTCACGATTTTTTTGTGTGATTTTTGCGATCAACTGATTTTGTGGTGGTAATTTCCAAAAATTTGTGAAAAAATTTGTGATTTACATTTAACATTTACCATAATAGTATTCAGTCCTTCCAGAAAAACGCTGAGTTTTTTTTGTGATTGTTGCAGGCAAAAATTGATCGATTATGCGGCCAGTTTTCTTTAAAAATGCGATGGAATATGTGGGATATTTATGCAATTTTATGCGATGAAATTGCTGGAATTTGCAAAAATTGAGGGAACTTGCAAAAATTGCGGTTTGATGAAAAAGAGAAAAAAGTGAT